GTGGCTGAGTTGCAGGCAGTGCCTGCCATGTGGGTGGTCTTGGATTGTGAGGGTGGGGTTACAGGGCGTGTGTTGGGTTTGTTTTCCCTGTGCACCTAACCTCCACTTGTGACAAAAGTTGTTTAAGACTAATTTAATTTTAATTAAATAAAATTATTTAACCTTTGAAGTCTGTTGTTTTTATTGCAGATGGCTATCAGTTTAATGGTGCTGTATTTCATGGTCATGACTAAAACAAAGGTATAAGTTTTTTTTTTGAGAATTAAATTCTGCATCTCTGTTTTCCTGCTATTACATGTGAAGCTGTTGGCTCTTTTTGACTGGCTGGCAAGTTTTGAAAAATGACAACGTACCTTTGGCATGCTTTATTGAAATGAGTAACTACAAAATTTTAAAGCTTCAAACATAAAGTGTATCACTGCCAACTTGTGAGTAAGTAAATAATTTTAAATTTGAGGAATTAAAATGATAAACCAGAGAGTAAATTCCACTTGAGGATAATCTTGTCATTTGTTTCCATGTTTTTTTTTCCCTGAAAAAGAGCTCATCTTACAAAACTACAAATAAACTTAATAAAGCCTTGGTTAATTTTGATGACGACATTTTTGACCAGTGAATGTAAAACACTTTCATTTTAACTTTAATCAAAAGTTTAAATGTAATATTATTAATAAAGAGGTAAATGTAAATGGTTATACTTTTCATATGTAATGCATAATTCCCCCACAACCAAACAAAATTCCTTCTTTATCTTATGCACAGAAATTTTGTTGCCCAAAACTTTGATCAATAACTTTAGAGAGTGACTCCTTTTGTAAAGATTGTTTGTTCCATTGGTTTGCTCTGTGTGATCAACTGTTCATCTTTCTCTAGGAAGGTCATATAATGAAGGCCACCATAGTGCAGAAACTAAAAATGCTCAAGAAATATGTAAGAAATATTTAACATGAAAACTAAACATGTATTAAGTTGTACTAAGTTGTAGGTTTAACATTAATTTTTGTGTGTGTGTGTGTATGTTTCACAATTAATTTTTTATAAACGTGTGTCTAAAATTAAATTATTTGTAAAAGTGAGATAATAAACAACTGTTTAAACATAGTAAGATAAAAGGTGAAACTATGTTTTCTTTATAACTTCTGCCTTTGAATAACTGAATTGATACAACTAAACTGAATAAACAAATGTTGACCCAATTTAAATTATAACATAACTTAAGTATTAATATCACATTTCTTAAAAGCTCTTAACTGCCAATGTAAGCTGAAGTGTGCCCAAGAGTATGGTGTCTTGTTAATCTCAGAACTGATTACAAGATTATTATTGATATCGGTGCCAGTAAACAATTAACTTTTTCCTCTTCTGTTAATTGACCAGGAATAGTCATTAGTATATTGGGATCCCTGTGTGGATCTTAGGTTGTCTGCAGCACAAAGGATACCTGTTGTCATCCAGTGGGGGGTGGGGGAGGTAGTAGCCATACTCCTAAGTTGCTCCAAGTGAAGGAACCAGAGTAAGGCCCACAGCACTGCACAGCTGTCTGGACTTGCTAACCTCTTGGAACGAAGTAAAATTTACCAATCTACCAGCACCAGGACCTTACCTGACCTAACTGTTTGTTCTTTAGGGGCAGAAAAAGCCTAAATTTCTAGATGAAATTCCTGCAGAAGACCCAAGTACAAAAACCCTGACCTACGTTAAAACAAACGGAAACCACATTATCCAGAAAGAGAGCCTGGAGCATGACACCATTGTTACCAGTGGCAGCTACCAGAATGGAACTGTCGTGCATGGAGAGGAACTTCATCATGAGAGGAGCCTGAGATCCAGTAAACACAGCCAGGAGGTACCGCTTGATCACAAACCCGCTGACCCTAATCAGCTGCAGGCTCAGGGAACACGTAAGAGGAAGCCAAGAAGAAGCGAGTTAGGGGGACACTTGGGGGGTGTAAATTATGAAGTAAAAACCCGTCTGAGGACGCGGAAATCTCAAGCAGGGCTGTAGCTATAGTTAATGATTCCTATTTAACTACAAATGTTATGGATGTATATGGATTACAGCATGTGAGCTAGTCTCAACAAGCTTGTATTTTAAGAATACGCGTATATGCATTGAAATCGAGTTCAAATCACTAGAATCTGTTTCATGTGAATACCTAGATGGCATAACATTCTAGGGAGGGGGGGGGGGGCTCCCATGTTAAAAGGATTGGGGTGCTCGTCGCACCTTTTAGGGGTTAAAAAACGCGGTTTTCGTACCTCTTAAGGTGTTCTGCCTCAAAAAGTCCACGGTGGAAGCTTTGCGGTACCTTGTAGGGTATTGAGCCAAACAAAATATGACAGGCGATAATGTCATATTTCAGAATTGGTACTCTTAAGGGGTAAACCTCTAAAAAATTTCAAGCCGTGCCCACAAAACAGGATCTTGGTACCTCTTAGGGATTCTTTTCAAAATTTGCGATGAGCATCCTCCTTTTTGTATGGGACTTTCCCCCGTGCGTAACATGTGTTAATTTCATAAGCTTACTATTCCTTCGCAACTAGATTCAAAGTTAACTCCACTACACTCAATTGACGTAAGTTCTAATCAGATTAAGATTCCAAAATTGCTTGCAATTTAAACATAGAAATGTACTTCAGTCACAAAAGTGTCAGGCAGAGATAAGGCTATCTGTTTTGTACCAAGCTATAAGAGATTTCTGAAAACACACTTGCAAAGCCAAATATTATAAAATACAGTCGAAACTCCACAAACGGCCAGCTCACCACAATGGCCATCTCTCTAAAACGGTTACTTTTTTGTCCCGGCGGACTTTCTATACATTTACTCTTTTAACCTCTTCAATGGCCACCTCTCCACAATGCCAACGGCCACTAAAGTGCGTCCAAACTGCCAAAATAACCTCTCGACAACGGCCAGTGAACCAACGACTGCAGTGGTTTCATTAAGGGCCGCGCACCGGGCAAATTGACCGGCTGTGAGGGTGATTTTGGTTGCCTGGCTTGACCATGGAGAGGAAAGGTTTTCTTGTAAAGAAGTTCAATTCAAAACGTTTTGCCCTCCTGTGAAAACCAGTTGCCCTGTTGCTGAAAACGTTATGAAACCCCTGCGACTGATGGGCGGTGTACACAATTAATCCCCATTATTTATTGGGAAAGGTCACAAAACTTGATCCATACCGCGCGTTGTTTGTCTTTTTTTCTGTTTGGTTTCTGTTCTATTGATACATTTGATTGTGTAACGTATTAACATGCCACACTAAGCATTTTTTAAAGATAAAAATGTTACACCCCCGAAAAAAGTAGGTGGCATATTATACCCCTACCTCCCCTTCAAGGTCATGTTGCAACTCTCGTAAGGTCTCACATGAATGGCTTGCTACCCTTTGAGAGGACAATAGAACAAACAACAGAAACAATGCCCCTAGCCCTAAAACAATAACAGCTGCTGCAATGACGACAAATAGTGTTACAAGCTTACGAGAACTGCTACACTACCGCCAAAAACGGTCACCTCTCTAGTACGGCAAATTTCATCTGTCTCCAAGGTGGCCTTTGTGGAGAGGTTCGACTGTATAGCTTGTTTGGGACATTGTCAAAGTTTAAGCTCACACAAACACACTACCCTCGGTACATTGTACATGTGTAGACATCAAGATGTTAGATATCTCAGTTAAAATGCTTACTGTTGTATAACTTACGTCCAGAAGTATTACATATCGACAATTATTTAACGCAAACGAATTTTGATGTATATTTCCGTCTGTTGATTACTGAATACTTTCAATCCATGCTAAAGTTGTGTTTGAATATGATCAGGGTTTTCTCTGATTTTCCGAACTTTTCGTTAGGCGGAGAAATGTAGCGTCGATTTCAACCGCTCTCTCGTGTCCAGTCTACTTTCCTCTTCGAGGGAGAGTTCGGGAGAGAACCGCGGGCTCTTTTCTCGAACAGCTGTTGGTATTCAAGCCTAGGAGCTATTATGAGTGGAATGTTGATATATGACTGCTTCCTATGCTATTTATAGCCGACTGAGATATATTCGATGTCTGGCTTTCCATGATTTGTAGATATACTAATATTTAAAAAAGGAATTACTTTAAAATGCGGATTTGTAAAACAGTTGTAATTACATGTATCTTGTGAATTGAACTCATCACTTTCCATGTTGTTGCCAGAAATGGGCAAAATGAAAAAAAGGTGAATCTAAGTGTTTCAACTAATTATGACGGAGATTATGTGTCTATGTAGTGTTTCGTCTTTTTTTTAATTGATTATGCAATAAAAGAACAAGCGTAGGAGCAGCTGAGTGCGAGTGTTCAGTAGATTTCTGTTTTTATGACTGGATGTAGTTTTTCGCACACCTGATTAGTCTACCACCCTCCTTACTAATGCAGCTACTTATAGATCCATACCTAGTTTTGTTTTAGTAAGGGCCTGACTCTACAGGCATTTGAGTGAAAAAAAAAACACTTATACAGCTTGTCCCAGGAGAATCTTTCGAGAATCTTTTTACCTCTGATGTGATTGGATTAGCTACTTGCAAGTTCGGTTTCCAATAGAGTGCGTTCATTGTCACGCACTAAAAATAAAATCAAAAACCATTCAGGGGATAAAGTCAAGAAATTGCGATATTATAGACGATAAATAAAGAGAGAGTTCTCCAAGTTTAAGGTTTGTGCATTGTTTCGAAGTTGAGATATTCGTCGAAATGTTCCGCGTAAAATTATAGAGCCTAGTATGGAGCCGCCATGTTGGAGGACCTCGTTCGAAATTCAGAAAACGCTGGTTTCCAAACAAAGGACGATAACGAGCTGGAAAATTGTAAACATATATAAATATAGTACCTCTTATGCCTGATGAGGATAAAACCTTTAGTGGACCTTTAGTTTTGGACTTGAAAATTTGATGACGTCACGTGAACACACTCAATCTTAAAATACCCAGATCACTCTGAAGGATGGGATTACTGATTGGTGGTCAGTCCGACAGGGAGTATTATATGGCCAGATTTAGAGAGAAAATTCCCTTTGAGATTCCGGGGTTTTCAGGGGCGTATGACGTTATGCTGAGGGTGAGGTTTAAATTGACTTGTCAGTAGACAGTCCAATAGAGAACATCACACCGGTAACTGAAGTGTTCGCGGGGAAAAATTATCCTGAAAAAAAAAAAATCCACCAGCTTTTTTGGGTAGTAAATCTTGGGGTTTGACGTTGTTAGTGGAAACGAATTTCCAAGGACGGTCTGGGTGGTTTTCTCGCCCCAGTACCTGAAGAACCAAGTTGTTCAGGCATTGCAGTGATTGGAGGGGAAGAAAGGCTCCCTGCAAAACCTGCGAGGAAGTTTCTTAACCCTTAGATGACTATGACGCGCGAAGCTGAAAAATCTCCCGAGGAGGCTCCTGGTCCGGTCCGACAGGGTTTTGGTTTCTTTGGAGAACTCAGCTCTTGAGGATTCACCGCAGCGATCCGGAATAGGGCATGAAACAATTTGAGGTGAAAAACATTTCTCTTCAACAGTTGAGCGGAATTCTATTGGGTTAATCTGATTCTGTGCGAGGTTTGAAACGCATCTCTATACTCTCAGCAGAAAATTTTCCATGCGGGGAAAACTCTTTGGGTGCAAAAGCACTGCCAGTGGTAAGAAAATGTCTCCTGGGAAGTCCTGGGTCCCTTCTTTTATTTTGCCTTAATTTTTTATAGAAGAAAGGCGATGGCTTGAAGAGAGGTTTTGAGGGAAAAAAAATCCCAACTAAGCTCGTGCGGAACTCACTTAGAGGATATATATAGATTACTTCATGGTTGGTGAGTGCGTACGATTTTTATTCACGAGTTGCGAAGAATCGCAAACGAACGAGCGAGTCTTCGAGCGAGTGAG